AGCGTCGAGTCGGTGTGTCTCAAGAGAAAGAATACAAAAACAAAATATGAATCGTCTGCGTGCCGAAACCGTAGGGCAGCGTGGTCGCTGATGTCTTTGGCGCGGCACAGTGGGGACTCAGCCGAAATAGTAAAAAAATTGTATGAGTGCTTTAGATAAATTCTAATAGAGAATTTTCCAATCGAATTTTCCCACTGTGCCGCTCCAAAGACATCGGCGATCCGCGACCACCGCTTCGACGGTGCTGAGGCTCGAGATTCCAGAATTGCCGAACAGACGAAACCGATGGGCAGCGGGGTCGCGGGGAGACGAAGTACAGGCGAAAAGGGAATTGAAACCCCGCGCGCTCCCTCGTGCCTTTTGGGTTCTAATGTTAGGACCCGCCATAGAACAGCTTTTTGGACGCTCATGCAACATCTTGGTATTGTATAGTCTTTGCTATTATTTATCGCTGGAACGTATTCAATTTAAATATTTCCCGTTAATTGGCATTCGCCATGTCGGCGCAATCCATATCCGTTAAATTTCAAAAGAATTTTAGTCGTATACATCAAACAATTTACTATAGACCAAACCTTATACATAGTATAGTATAGTATAAGTCTGGCGTTCGGTTACCGCCGCGTCATCATGAGCTAAACGCAGAGAAAACATCTTTGCATGTGTTAGTACACCACACACAATATCTTTTGATAAAAATGTGAGATTTAATGCTCTTTTCGTTTTCTTTGTGATTTTTGTTTTAATTGCTGTTAAGCGTCTAGCACATTTGAATGGATGGATGCACATTTGGCTTGCGCTTATTTGTTTGGGCAGAAAAAAAATGTGTCGGGATCAAAAGTCTCAGGGTCTAAAAATGTTCCTTTCCTTTTGGGAATGAAATTGGGAGTAGTTCATCAAAATAAAAAGCCTGTTTTGATACAGCTGTGTCCAATTCTGGACAACTAAACGGCGCTAAATAGAGAAACTATTAGACAAAAGACTCGTATACCTCCCATGCTGATGTCTGCACCAGTGAAATACATTTACGGGCAGCATTTGAGCCGAAGCTACGCCAGGTAAAAAAGTTGCACTCTTTGCCAGATTTAAAGATTCCTAAAAAAACTATTGAACAAATAAAGTTTAAGTGGTTTGACTGATCAGTACGTTGCAACGAATTTTAATGCGAATAATTAACTTCTGTCAAGTTTAATTGAGAAAACTCATGCGCGTACTGATTACGTTGAATTTAGGATTGGTTCTGAAAGGTAATTTTTCCGACTCCCTGGACCAATGCACCATCTACGCTGGATGTAAAAAGCGATTTTACCTTTAAAATATATATTTTTCGAGAGAAGTTTAAGTTGACAACTGGAGAAGAAAAATATTTTCGCGACGTTTCTATTTTTATAGTTCGTTCTTATATAAATTATTGAATATTGTCCGAAAATACGATAAATTTCCTGCGCTCAACAATGAGGAGCGAAAGAAAAACATCATGATCAAATTGGCTTTTCTCAAATCACTGGCACCAAATTACCACACTAAAGGTCATGGTACAAAATGTTAATTCAGTACTTGCTTTAAGCAGACGAGCCGAACTCAATAGATCCTTAAACAACCATGAGCCAGATCTTTTAATTGTAGTTGAACATCGCCTGATGGCCAAAAGTCAAATGCGTCTAGATCAACATACCTTGGAGGTACCGAAGGATCTGTTGGTATATGCATTCGTAAGAATGCCAAATATTCAACCATTAAAACGGGACCATTACGTTACCTAGAAACATTAATATTAAATCATAATGCCTAAGCTGGCATTTACCAATTTTGAATCCAAAACACATTAACACTCATGGCCGAATATTATACAATTAGCTTCAGAAAGAGACTGATCTGTTACTCTATCCAAGCAAAGACCAACCAAGACGCAATAACAATAACAACAATACTGTCATAGACACCTCCATTGATTTTTGTATATGCTCAACAGATCTTCCCGCCATTCTTGATCCGAACGATTCGAACGTTACAAACAACCCGAATAATCCGAATGGCTTTGGCACTGATATTGGCATTGGCATTGACATTAACATCGGATTCGGCTTCGGCTGTGCCACCCATGATGATTTGCCCTCGTATTGGATCCTGTCGGATCCAATTAAATATAAATATAAACTTGGCAAATACTGTCCAGAATTGATCACATGTAGGCGATTCCTGAGGCAATACCTATACCGTTATCGCTTTCGTACGGTCACTACATACTTCCAAGAAACATTCGTCAACGATCCCATTGTCGAACTGAATGATACACGAACTGCAGATGGCAAATGGTCGAAGGCCCAGCAGTATGGGTTTACGAATGCTCGACAACTATTCAATTGGCTGAAATGGAAAAACATCAAAGAGCTCATACAGGTGAATAAAATCTTGAAAGACTTCCAATTCGGTTTCCGTGACAGCTACTCGACTAGTCATGCACTAGCGGCGGCCAATCAGTTTGCCTTCGACAATCTAACCAAGAAACGGCCGGCCAAGACACGGTGTGGAAAAACAGTCTGCTTTACAAAATGCTACAGAAACTTCATTTCGACCACAGCATTTGCAGCTCGAAACATGTATCAATGCGACGCGATATAACGGCCGGTGTACCACAGGTCTCGTTATTGGTGAATGGATATGAATGGATTACGTTTTTTCTTAAAAATTCGCAAAGTAAATTCATCATACATAATACAAATACAGCTTTTTGCGAGCCTTTGAAAGTGAACAATCGATCAGCCGATTGTGAGAACAAAATTGGCGCCAAATTACTTTTTTACGTGGCGATCGAGTAAATTTGTTTTTGTTTGTGTAAATTTATTGTTGAAAATTTAACTGCGTCCCTTGTATTTCGTAGAATATAACAAATGAACTGAGTTCTGCTCAGAAAAACTAACTACGTGAGTTTGTACCTACAAATGTTGTAATTGACTGGAAAGTAAAAAGTTGGCCCGTTTTGGCTCCTTATCTTTAATTTTGGTAATATTCAGGAAAGTTCGAGTTTTTGCATAGCGATCTCCTTGATAATTGGAGCAGCAACAACCGAACAAAAAATCTTTCTCAAATTACATTTACAGTAAAATCAATAACAACCATTTGGAAAATTTTAAAAAAATCAGTAATTTCGAATCCTTCATTAAAAGAAACCTTCTGAAGTGCAACAAAATGATGAAACGGTTTATGACCACCCATGCTTAACGGATGGCTTCTAAAATAACAATTATTGTTAATGAAAATATACAAATATGCAAGATTTAAAAAGATATGGGTCTGCGTATAAGCATGCCAAAGCAGAATGGCAATGGCAATAGCAATGACGGGAATACGGCAAGAAGAGCTTTTGCGAACACTAAGCTACTATCATCCATAACTAATCTTAATCGCAATTTCGTGTAACTATTCTATAAATTCGTTTTGCTTATATATGCAAACCTATCCGTGGTACCCAATGTCCCCAACGATTCATAAAGTATTATTCCATGGTTTCCAAATAAACAATTCGACGTTGGTCCCACTTCGATGTTTAGGAGAAAATGCTTCAGAGGCACGGAATAAAATGTCCAAAAAATACAGATTATCACATGCAAGGAAAAATAGTCGGGTAAATATTATGACTGACATTTTTAATAAAGCGATAGATTCCTCGGATCCATTACTATCGAGTGCCTGTTTAAAGAGAGGGAAAGGAAAAACAAGAAAACGCCTCTCTCCAAAGAAGTATTAAATTTGAAGTATGTAATTTATATTTCCGAGCAAAAACAAAATAATCGATTTCTGGACCATAGCGGTGGGGGGGCGAGGGGGTTTGAGGACTTTTGGGGCATCCTGTCAGCCAAAGTTTTTAGGTTTCGAGTCCTTAAGAAGTTAAAAAACCACTATGGTCCAGGAATAGGCAAGCCTTGTTTTAATCGTCCTCAAAAACTTGCCTTTATCTCGCGCCTTTCTTTCTTTCCTCCGAACTCGCTCTCTCGATCGATCGCGCCCTTTTAGAATCCTCGCTTGCATTAGTGCACAGGGAATTCGGCCCGACCGCCCTTGAAACAACAAATTTTAAACCGAACAATTATAGCCTTTAATATACAAATACATCGCAAACTACGCTGCTGAGAAACTACGCACCATAGAGAATGGCGATCAGATCGGATCGTCTCCACTTCTCCACTGTGAGATACGATGTCAACAGCTATCCCATCGAAATTTTCGACCTTTCTGGGACATATTGTGTACGACGTGTATGATGGCTAAGTGTTCTAGCCTTCTGAGAGCTTGACAAAAGTAGAACAGGTGCTCTACCATTTATGATATACAAACTATATGAAAGAAAATTACCGGGTATCTTAATGGGCAGGCACGTGTGACTCGAAAAAACATTCCGAATGAGTTTCTCTTAAATGAAAACGACAAAACAACAAAAATATGCCGGACGGTAAAGAATAGCTAAAACGGTTAAACGTAGTTTACAGAGAGAAAAATTTCCAGATAAGCGCGTGATCTCTAATATTTTTAGAACGAGTTTTGGGGAGTCGGAAACGAACTTATAAATATGAAAATGTAAATGTACATGTACACCCGACACTCATTCTGCATCCATTAATTCTCATCCATGCGAAGTGTAGTGTCTTGGTCTGCGTCAGAGGCCGAATTGATTTGGCTTATCTAGACTGGACAGCAATGAGTGAATTCGGATCTTGATAACACTTTGGCGCAGATGAGTGAGACGACGGCGGGTGGATTTGGTGAGCACAGCGTCGTACTCGACGGCCGAAAGCGATAAAAGCTGGAACCATGATAAGATTCCCCTAACTGTTGCTGCATACGAATATTCCATCTTTGAGCTAGTACTCGCTAGATACTCGAATCGTGGTCTTATTGTTTGGGTTTTTGTTTTTTATTTGCACTATTTCTTTATATCTATACGATCGTGTTGATCACTGGAAACCTGTGAATGTGAATCAGTTTACTGTTTGCGCCAGCCGGGTGAGGACGTTTGCGGAGCAAGATTTCTATACGACCCAGATACATACATACATTTGTATGTAGAAAGAGAGCTCGGTGGTGGTAGTGAAGCGCTCGAGATCAACATTGCGATCTCGTTTGAGATTCAAACGCTGTGCTGTGCGATTGATCAGCGGGTAAACCCGACCTAGTCTGCCGTCTGATCTCCACTGGAGCTGACGCTATACCTGGTGAAGTTCTATTCATATGAACGTACATATGTACATACATCTGTACATAAATTAAAGGCAAGGCGAAAACTTGCAGTTGATTAAAGCCAGTCTCTTGGGGGCATAGAATATCGAAAAAAGAAAACAAACAAAGCCGCAACGTGACACAGAGTCCGAGAAAAGCAAAGAACCTGTTTCGAGTCTGTATAAATGTAAGTCGCCCAAGGTCGATCACTCGGTCTTTTAAGAGTTTTTAAAAATGTTTGACGGTGAAGCAATTTTGTTGTGTTTTTGGGGTGTTCCATTTCAGTTTAGCTGGCTTCGAAATGACCATGGTGCCGGAGACAACTTTCGCTGACCTGAGCTTGGCAGATAAGGTAAGAATTGCCAAAAAGTCATCCAAAGACTTCTAGTGGTATCATATAAAGAATACATAACAGCGGAGTCTGAATCACTGATCTTAACGATTAAATAGAAAACAGCACGTGACGGACGACTCGAGGAGTAAACAAAATCCAAAAAGTAGCAGCAAGAAATGAGCAGAGGCAAGTCAAGACTCACGAAACTTTTAGTACCCTGGCTATCATCATTCTATCGATCGTCGTTTTGTTTGACTGTTTTAAATTAAGTGCAATACTAATGCTCAGAATTGGCAGTTGAACCTTAAAGATTTTGGGAAGACTGGCCTTAATAACTTTCTTTGAAAAGTATAAAAGTAAAAATTATAGCCTACATTTATTAAAGGGGTATGGAAAAGGCTATACTTTTCCATACGGTCAATGAAATTTAGGCAACTGATAATAGATACGAATACGCAAGACACACATTTGAAGCCACCATTAAATCGCCTGTTTACATACACCTTGGGAGACAATCGATTGAGGTCCGATCTAGAAGATCGTTTTCACATCTCCCCGGGCCAATTGGCGAGACGAATTATCGCTAGCATGCTAAGCGATGCCAATTAGTGCCAGGCTTCGCATATTTTCCCTCTTGGGCTTCCTTAGAATTCATATCCAGATTTCACTGGACCAACAAGTATCATCTACCATTCCCAATTCCTAATAATACATTTGAGACTTCCACTACATTGTCTGTAATTAGTGTAACATTTTTTGACAGACGGCAGTTAAGAAGTCGAGCATTATAGCTCGACGATTTTCCGATGTGTCCACCTGCTCGTTAAGCTCCAGTAAGTTGTTTCCTTCATTGCTCAACCAACTCGTTGTTCACCCCTAAATGATCTGTTATTTTATTTTACGTCAGCTTGTTTTACGGGGAGTTCAGATGAGGACGAAGTTTCCCCGAAGGACAACAGGCAGCGAAACTCCAGCGGCAGCACCGATTTTTGTATAAAGAATATTAACAAGAGTTCGTTTGGCCGCAGGGAGATCGATATTGCGGAGTCGGAAATGCCTGGCATAATAAGTCTGCGGAAGCGGGCATACGAGGAGAAGCCCTTGAAGAATGCCAATATAGTCGGCTGCACACACGTGAATGCGCAGTCAGCTGTGCTCATTGAGACTCTAGTCCACCTGGGTGCCTCTGTCCGGTGGGCGGCCTGCAACATCTATTCGACACAGAACGCTGTGGCTGCGGCATTGGCTGAGGCAGGAGTGCCAATCTTCGCCTGGCGCGGCGAAACCGAAGAGGACTTCTGGTGGTGCCTGGACAAGTGTATCCACAAGGAGGGCTGGCAGCCAAATATGATCCTGGATGATGGCGGGGATGCCACACACTTGATGCTCAAGAAGTATCCGGACTATTTCAAATCGATCAAGGGAATTGTGGAGGAAAGTGTGACTGGTGTACATCGGCTGTACATGCTATCAAAGGCCGGCAAATTGACCGTCCCGGCAATCAATGTCAACGACTCGGTGACAAAGAACAAGTTTGACACCTTCTACACCTGCCGCGACTCCATTCTCGACAGGTGAGTGTAGCTTTGCAATCGGTGGATTTCTTATTTATCGTTGTGTTACTGGCAGTCTGAAGCGCACCACGGATATAATGTTTGGAGGCAAGCAGGTCGTTATCTGCGGATACGGGGATGTTGGCAAGGGCTGTGCACAGTCATTGAAAGGCCAGGGATGCATCGTCTATGTCACCGAGGTTGATCCGATATGTGCTCTTCAGGCGGCTATGGACGGGTTCAGGGTGGTGCGGCTCATTGAAGTTATTCGGGACGTAGATGTGGTCATCACGGCAACGGGCAACAAGAACGTTATCACCCGGGATCACATGAATCGCATGAAGAACGGCTGCATTCTTTGCAACATGGGCCATTCTAGTTCCGAGATTGATGTGGTACGTACAAGACGGCCGTTGAACATATCCCATCGACCTCAAATCATTGTATCAAATCATGGTATTACCTCAAATCATGGTATCTTCTTTGATTGCAGAACAGTTTACACACTCCTGAACTAATTTGGGAACGAGTGCGTTCCCAAGTAGACCATATAATTTGGCCGGATAAAAGAAAGATTATCCTGTTGGCCGAGGGTCGACTTGTAAACCTCTCCTGCTCAACCGTGTCGTCGTTTGTTGTGTCCGTGGCCTCCTCTACCCAGGCTCTTGCGCTCATAGAACTTTACTCTTCACCGGGAAGATACAAGTCGGACGTTTATTTGCTGCCAAAGAAAATGGGTAAGTAAGGGTCTCTCGCACTCAGACATCGTTGTCTGAACTAAACTGCAATTTTCGATCAGATGAATACGTAGCCAGCCTGCACCTGCCTACGTTTGAAGCACACCTGACGGAGCTATCGGATGAGCAAGCCAAGTTCATGGGCTTAAACAAGGCCGGGCCTTTCAAAGCTAACTACTACAGGTATGTATACACATTCGACTATTATTCCTTTTAATGAAATCTAATTTCTATTTACAGATATTGATCACTTTACTCGCACATTGCTTCATTATTCATATAATTATTCAGTATTTTGATGTTAATAAAACAAGAAAGCACGGATGAAGCTTTGCAAGCGGGTCGTTTCTTCATCCGATTTGATCGATTTTGCAAGACCTGCGCAATGACTTTGGGTGGTAATGGTTCGATAGGAGAAAATGCAGCCGGTCCATTATTTATACATACATATATACATATACTTTACCACCCCACAGAGTTCGGCTCTGGCGTTCGGGTACTGACGCGTCATCAGAGAGAGAACGCAGAGAGAACATCTTTGCATGTGTTAGTACACACGCAATATATATTGTTTCGACAAAAATATGTGATTGTATGGTTTTTCCTTTTTCAGATTTTTTTGCTTCCAGCATATTTTAATGCATGGGTGCACATGCATTCTCACGTACTGAGCGTGTGTGTGTTTAGTATTGCTGGCCGCTAGAACTGAAATTTGAGTTTGGTTCTTGTTTTGGGTCTTTTGATGAACTGACCTACCGCCACAAAATAAATATATATATTTCTTTCTATAAATAGAGGATATACCTTAAGCATGTTCATATATGAAGCATATATATATGAATATACGTAAATACATTCATATGTACTTAAAGTCGCCGCTAAAATTGGCTCCCGATTGAAGATCGGTACCCAGGGAACACCACGAGGAGGCCATTATAAATTAAATGGGGTCAAAAATTAATCTGACCTTTGAGTCGACTTGATATGACTTAATTTTAAGACTTTTAAGTAATTAAGTCACATCCATGTTCCCCGCCTAAAATTAAATCTGTTAGATATATGCACATATGTACATATAAATGAAAATACAAAATAAGCAAAATATAATAACCTTATAACTAAATTTTACAAAATGAAATAAAAAATCCCATCCTGATTTTGCATTTTGATTCCCTATCATCCTATCTGTTAACCATTTAAAATGTTTTTCTAATCAAAATCAATACAAACTGATTGAGCAGATGTTTTCCAGCACACTAACGTGCGTTTTGATGGCAGTTTTAAATTTAGAACATCTCGAAGATATTCATAAGTCCTTGACGATTAAAAGTTAATATTTTGCGCAATAACTTTTTCTGCGGGGCTATAGCTCAATGTCTTTTTTAAAAGCATGATAAATATCGTTTTTACCTCCGCAGAAACATGCATCATGCATCATGGCTATTATGGGAATAATATTTGGTTTTAAGTTAGTTGTTTTGATTCTGTTACGCCTATTCCTGCGATACACAACCCTTTTTAAGTCCAAAAATCGATCTTTCAATTTTTTAAAGCCATTCTCTCTTTTTTTTTGGTTAGCTATTAACTCATAATATTTGTTTTTATAATATTTCTCGTCTTGCTCTCTTTTTAAGCAATTTTCACTGAACTCGACATCAATCGATTCTTTATTTTCTAATGAAACTTTATCAGGCGCTTCTGTTATGCACTGTTCCTCTAGTTCGTTTAACATTATATTATGCACATCTGCCAGTTTGATTCTTTTAGCCTGCAAACATTTTCCTATTGGTTCATTGTCGTGTTTATTTTCTGAAAAAACCATTACCAACCATAACCATTACAAAGATCTGCATTGAATGGAGTTGATAAAGTATTTTCAGTTAATAAAATATATTAGACACTCCTAAATACTTAACATCAAAATGCCGGTCACAAATTCGTGCAGTTTTTTTTCACCAAATTGCTATCCAAACCACAAACCTCAACCCATTTATTAAACATTAAGAAATTCTAACTTAAATAAATAAATAATCTAACAGTCCCTGTCGGACGAACTATTTCTATATCCACTGAGACAGAAAGAAATAATGCATTTTATACCGCTTTTTCGGTTATCTTTTTGATTAGCGGACGACATATAATAACCCAACTATGTAGGTTAATAATAATAATTATAATAGTATATTAATTTTAATATTATGGCTAATATAATGCACTTCACTGCGCACTGACTCTACACACAAAAACCACAAAACGTAGAGCTTTACTCTGCAGGCCTCTTAGTCCTACTAGAATGCCTTGTTTAACAAACACTCACTATTCATATGCAGGTCTTTTAGTCTTATCAGAATATGCACCTTTAACCACAAACACTCACACCCACTTAGATATAAAAAAACAAGTAATCGAATATAATCTAATGTAATTAATGGGGAATAAACGCAACGTACCAGCGGAAAAACGAATCACGCGCTTTTTGTCTATCCATCATTCCACGCATTCATACCCACACACACTTGCGTGCCCTTTAAGAGTACTAACACTTTTCTAAGAAGCTTGCCACCAAGACATCAAGACAACAGTAATTTTGAATACTCTCATGCAATATACGAATGTAATAAACTTTAATATTTATGTACATATGTATGTATGTACATAAGATATTTCATAATTGAATCAGAAAATTGATAGGTATTGTCCATGAGAGTATTCAAGGTGCGACACGCATATACATTTTTTCGTTGCACATTTCCGACGGACAGCGCGCAATTGACAAGTGATTTTAAATGTATGTAAAAACAAACCCATACATACATATGTACATATGCTTATTTGTATTTATGTTTATAAACTCAAATTTTGGTTCTAGCGGCCAGCAATACTAGAACTCACACACGCAAAGTACGTGAGAATGCGTGCACCCATACATTCAAATATTCTGGAGGAACAACAGAAAACAGAAATTAGCATCAGCATCTGCATCAGATCTCTCAAAACGAAAAAAGCATACAAACACATATTTTTTTCGAAACATATTGCGTGTGTACTAACACATGCAAAGCTGTTTTCTCTGCGCTATCTCATGACGCTTCAGTACCCGAACGCCAGAGCCGAAGTCTCTGGTGTAACGCCTCGTGTGACGCTTTCTAGTATGAACTGGCACATCTACATACATATGTATGTATATACTGTATGGCCACTAGTATGCTGTCTTAGGGTGTCATTAATATCGTCTCGTTTTGTTTATGCACCGTTCGAATGACCATGCCAGGGCGTTGATCTTGTTGAAATCGTCGGTGATGATATTCGATAATGGCATATTGTTAGTTTTTGTTCGGTTGTTCAATGTTCGTATTGAGTAATTGATCATCGATTGTTGTTGTTGTTGTTTCAGCTCAGCGTTTTGATGCTTTTTCAATTCCAAAAGTTTTAATTGTTTTTGTATTGTTAGGACCCATACTAGGAGCCTCACATTATAAATATAATAAATATACTTTAAAGGATATGACAAACTATAGCACATCGCAATGGAGCGAATCTGTAAGACCCAAGTCAAGATTATAGCACTTACATATGTATGTTAGCGAATAAGTTAGTTTATTTTTACATAGCCGAAACCCGCCAGACGGCCAGCTCACACAGAAGAAAAAGCATAGAGGGGAGCGAGAACCACGCTCAGCCGGCATCAGAGCGGCTCTCTTTCGGGAATGTCCCGTTGGGCCGAAAACCAGCGCCAGGCGTGGGCGAGATCAAGGGAGTAGAATTCAAGAATCAAGAATCAAACGAAGAGGGTCAGTGCCGCGGACGGCAAAAGTGTCGAAAGTGTTGAGCCGCCGCGCTTTTAGGAAAAACCGAGGAATCAGAACACACAGAGCTTCGCCGCAGTGGACGGGAACTGGAAGACGAAGAAATGGAGGATCTCAGGGAAAATCAGTGCCAAATCCGGGGGGGAGCTGGCCGATGGCCGGAATGGGAGAGGGAGTATGTGGGAGAGCTGGGGAAACCGGGATATATGTATGTTTTATAGTCAAATATTGACGGACGGTGGGTGGGAGTGTTGTGCTCTGCAAATCGGTTCTTTATTTCCATGGGCATAACGTCTAAGCGTTTAGTGTTGGTCAATGTGTAGGCTTTTTTTTTGATAGTTTGCGATCGTGGCGAAAGCCGGTTATTGGCTGGCAAGCTTTACGTAGGATAACGGCCATACAAGAGTAATGGGTGTATTAATTTCTTGTAGATGAGAGCGAATTTTCGAAACTCTTACAGTGTTATCTGTTGGTTTTGTTGTATTGCTGGTGTTGTTGTTGTTATTTCTGGTAGTACTGATTAAACCGAAATATTCACTAACAATTGCCAATTGTCTTTTGGCTTTGTTCATAACGTGATCTATATGTTTTTGAAAATTGATTTTATCATCGTAGATGATGCCTAGATAACGAAAATCGCTTTTCGCCCGCACTTGTCTGTTCCCATTGATTGTGAATGTCGGTATGTAGTTGCGTGCATTTTTAAAGATGCTCGTTTTGTTTGGGCCCCTAATCATACAGCATTCGCATTTTGTTTCGTTGAGTTTTTCTTGCCAACTTGCGAATGCAAATGCCAATCGAGCCGCCACGTACACCCGATTTGCTTAGGCTCTTGGTGTCCGTTGCCAGTTGTGTTTGTCTAATGACACTTTATCGATTCAAGTATAGTTATTTTCGATCGAGTAGCCGTTGTTCGATTACGATTAGTGCATCTGGTTGCTGCCTATTGAGGTAACCATTAAGTTGGGCACGTTTATTTTCTGCGATCAATGAGTGCGCTCTTCGCTATTTAGTGCCGGTAGTTGATCGTATTTTGGGAATGTACTTTTGACTTTTTTGAGAAATTGGAAGAAATCCATACCGAATATGTCTCTCACATCCTTGTTGAGTATGTCCAGGACCGAAAACGGTGATGGAGCTGTTACCATTGTTGTTGGTGTTGGTATTGGTGAGACTGTTGTTGTTGGTTTTAATAGTTTTTTTATTGTTTAAGGCATGTTGGTTCAGTGCCTGACTGATTGGCCGCATTGTCGTTGGGTCATTGTTCGTTGAGTTTATTTTCAATTTTGGTTTCTTATTCGTATTGGCATTGCTTTAAATAGCGATGCGAAAGATTTTCCATTTCTAACAAGGGACAGACAATTCGATGTTTTGATTGGTCGATTTGTTGTTGTTGTTTGCTTATTAACCGATTGCGATGCTCGTTTAAACGTACCAATGCCGCTTGGCGTATTGGGCAGATGTTGCGCTATGCATTTGACGTATCGATAGGCCAGGCCGCAATTGCTAGCCGATTGCGTGAGTTACTGACAATTTTGAGTCTTGCGATCGT